CCCCCCCCCAGTGGCACAGTGGTAAGTAGTTTGTCTTGGAATTTCGCGAAAAGCTACTCTAGGGTTATGTGCACTAGTCGCCCATAATTTTGAAGTATTAGACTAGAGGGAAGGCAGCTAGTCAAAAACCACACACCGCCAACTCTTGGGCTACGAAAAGTGGGATTAACCGTCACATTATAACGCATACACGGCTGACAGGGCGAGTATGTTCGGTGACGGGAACAACGATAAGTCTCAAGACTTATAGCACTGAAATGGGTTACGATATCCATCGTGGGCGCGGCACAGATAGCCCATTGTGTAGCTTTGTGCTTAACTACAAACGAACAAAAACAAGTAAACGCATGTTTGCAAGATGGAAAGCAGAAACTCGAAGCTATTAAGCAGGAAACAACTTTTGTGTACCAGGAACTGTCTATGTCGTTTATGGTGGTTTAATTTTGATTCATAAACTGTGTTTTTAATCACATATCCTGGCAGGAAATCAACACAGAAGCTGCAAGCACGTGCCAGTTGGTGAACATCGGTTCCACTATATTTTTCAGTAGTACTGTATCGGTTACAAATCAAAGCTTTTTGGTTTCCGTTCTCCACGTCCTTTTCTCACGGATAGAGGGGCGGATACGTGTGCGTTGAAAGCACGTGAAATGTAACGTTGCTTTTAACAGAATAAAATTTCAGTTCGTTGGAATTACGTATACATATATTAGGACTGATAGACGACTTATTTTGTATTTCCATGCAATACCGAGTGTTCGTAACATAAATCGTAACTGTTTAAAAGCACACGTGGTCTCATCATACGCAATGCTAATGTGTTCCATTTTACGACTGTTGTTTTTGCCTGTGAACAAATGTTAAGAAATTTAAATTAGAAAACAAAAAACACGTGAACTTACGTAAAATGAAAGTGAAAAAGACTGGCCAGTCTACTTTTAACTAAGATTACACTGTTTACTTTTAGAAATTAACTGAACAGTCTAGTTCTTACCTTTACCTTTAGAAGTAAAACAAAACAAGACAGTCTAGTTGTAACAAGGACTAAACCGTTTACATTTAGAAGTACGGGGAACAAGACAGTCTAGTTCTAACAAGGACTAAACCGTTTACATTTAGAAGTAAAGAAAACAAGACAGTAGTTCTAACAAGGACTAAACCGTTTACCTTTAGAAGTAAAACAAAACAAGACAGTCTAGTTCTAACAAGGACTAAACCGTTTACATTTAGAAGTACGGGAAACAAGACAGTAGTTCTAACAAGGACTAAACCGTTTACATTTAGAAGTACGGGAAACAAGACAGTAGTTCTAACAAGGACTAAACCGTTTACCTTTAGAAGTACGGGAAACAAGACAGTCTAGTTCTAACTAGGACTAAACCGTTTACTTTTAGAAAAGTAAATAAAAACTGGACGATCCAATTCTTACAAGTTTTTTAACTCCAAAGGTAACGTATCTTCTCGCTCTGAATGAGATTAAACATAGAGGAATTATTTAAAACATACTTTGGTTTAATTGGACACATTAGCATATTATCTTAATTGACTACCCAATACAAGTAGTGTTATAGATTACGTCACTGATTTACAATAATACCTAATTTCAGTTAGAGTACATAATTGTTACGTCAGCAATATACGATGCTTTGCGTGAAAAGTTTACTGATTTAAACGCCCTTTCTTTGATTCAATGGTTTGATCCTCCCTCTTTTTTGTTTCTTGTAAATTCATTAAATGTCAATATCTCATAATACAGCATTTTTCTGAATATTTGAATGGGGTTTCTGCCCCATTTCTGACTAAATATCTACATACACTTTATGAATAATTCATTACTCTTGCGATTTTTCCAGGAATTGTATACTGTAGCTCAAAACAATAGTGAATGTTTTGGAGACAAGTCTGAGAATTTCATGCATTCTACTTTTTTAACTTCTGATTGAAACTCTCGTGCTACTTACAAAAAATCTATAATCTTTATGAAAATGGCTTATTCCTAATCCTATTAAAGATTTTTGCTCAGAAAAACTAAGAGTCTTATAAAAAACGAAATAAAAATTAAGATACACCCCTTACATAAGATTGGCTTAAAGCGGGTTTAAAGCTCTCTGCTAACTCAACGATAAGCTTTAGGGCTTATAAGCTAAAATTCGGAATTTCATCCCTTCGGTGGGCACAGCACTTATAGTCAATTATTAAGACCTACGCTTAAGAAGGAACGGATAACTGCCTTTTAAAAATGTGCTAGATGTGTGCTGCGGGTAAATACCTTATTTTGATAAGTTTTGCAACAGGTTAGATTCATGAGTATTTTAGTGGTGGTCGTGTGTTTGTAATCTATGAATTTTAAATGTCATATTTTAGTTTAATTATGTGGCCTCTAATCAAAAAGGTTGGCCGATTAATCAGAATTAAAACAAATTGATAAACCTTGGACACGTTAGTATTTGGTTAAGTAGATTATGGGTTAATGTGACTGAAGATTTTGTTTCGTAGAGCAGGTTTTTAATTTCGGGTGATTAAAAGTTATTTACAAGAAGTTTTATACTGAAGTCCAAAGTTCGTTACGTGTTGTCGCTGAACACGTTCTCTAGTTTTTCACAGGCAGGTGCTGTTGGCTTGCTGTTTTTACTCCGGTCAGTGGTTCACGATTAGGGACGGCTTTACTAGAACCATAGAGATCTCTGACAAAATTAGGGATAGTATTATTAGAACCATAGAGATCTCTGACAAAATTAGGGACAGTATTACTAGAACCATAGAGATCTCTGACAAAATTAGGGACAGTATAACTAGAACCATAGAAATCTCTGACAAAATTAGGGACGGCATTACTAGAACTATAGAGATCTCTGACAAAATTAGTGACGGTTTTACTAGAACCATAGAGATCTCTGACAAAATTAGGGACAGTATAACTAGAACCATAGAAATCTCTGACAAAATTAGGGACGGCATTACTAGAACCATAGAGATATGTGACAAAATTAGGGACAGTATTACTAGATATCTGAAAAATTAGGGACGATTTTACTAGAACCATGGAGATCTTTGACCTGGTCACTCAGACCACTGTGCAAGATATGCTGTTGAATATGCTGATAAATGCTCATAAGAACCGCATAAAAAGATATTCACGTTGAAGTCCATATGGACGTGTTTGTATAAAAATGAAAATACTTTTTAACTAACATGTCACTAAAAGGTGATATTCGAAAGAATAAAATATAATTAATACATTTTAAAATGACGTTTGCATGTTTTTTTTTGGTGCATTAAAACCTCGTTGTGTGACAAACGATTTTTGTAAAAAATTGAATTGTGCATTACTGACAGAATGAGAGCTAGTAATATTTCGGATTTAAAAAAGAACATGTAGTGAAAAGACGCTTTCTTGTTGTTATTAAGTCGACAATTGTGGTATTGTTTCACTAATTTTTAAAGGGCTTGCTTTATTGAGTGTGTCTGTCATTTTAGGCCAAACATTTAATTAATTTTGTTATCAACAACACCAGGTTAACTCTAAGGAACAGAGATTTTGAAAAATTCCATTTGGAGATTAGCCAGTCCTATCTGTCCTGAAGCTTTCTCCATAGTGTTGCCACCTGTTGGAAGACGATAACGGGATTTAAGGAGAGAGAGTACAGTATAATCTGTCTTCTTTATGCCTCCTGGAAAATCAACTTTCTTCGAGTTATTTGGAGAACGGTATGTTTGAGAAGTGATAAGAAAGCTAACGTTAAAGTGAAAAAAAAATCATTTTGCATATTTGACACGCTTAGTGTAAGAGTCTCATTAGCTTAATTAATCTTCTTTTAGAGCTTCTTTATAGGATTTGTTGCCATAACAACAGCTTTTTACACAAAGTTTATCTTGTCGGTTTAACTGCAGCGAGTTAATGGGAAGTGTTAAGTTGAGATAGTTGAATATTAATAATAAAATAACTCTACAGTGAAGCTTGTTATGTTAGAACACGAGCAGCCATATTCGCCGAATTGATCAATATAAAATGTCACCCAAAGGTTTCGACACTAGGTGTCTCCACAAGACCTTAACATTAGAAGTCACATTATGACATGCGAAAACAAATCAATGGAATTTTCAGACAGAGACCAAAAGTTGGAATAATGAAATAGAGAAAGTAAACAATAAGTAAGTCAAAATTAATTAGGCCAAAGAAGTAGATTCCACACGAGAGATGTCTAAATCTAAATATCTTTAGACATGCAATGGACATCGTAGATGTTCAGATTGTTTTGACGATGGCATCTTAGTTATATTAATCCTAGGCTCCTAGTACAATATCATATATCTTACACGTTACAATAAATACTTTGTTAACGTTAGTTTGGTAAGTTGTCATATGATGTTTAGCATTGATATATTCAACATTTTTTTATTTTACAGTTGACGTTTAGTTTACTGCTTGACACGACAAGTGACCGAGGATGGTTAGAGGGGAAACCCGAATATCGGCAACTTATAGTAATTACATACATACATACATACAGTAACGTACGTGTTCAGATCATAGATATGTTCAGATTAAACATAATGTTTTCAGATGTTTTGTATCATAAATTGGACAATATATATTGTACTGTACTAATAACTTGTCGGTTATCAAACATAAATATTGATGTATTGAAAGACCACATATGACTTCTGAGATAGAACTGAGTTTATTATACAGGGTGTTCTGATTACAAATTATAATTATTAATTCGCACATGATTAAGAGTAAGAAACAATAACCACGTTTTTTTTTGGCACAATGAAAGATAAAATCTGTATTATAAACTTCAGCTGACTATCTACGGTAACACGGTTACCTTTATTAGGGCTAGGACTACAATATAGGCCTAGCTAATAACTCCTTTTGTCACTAGCCCTGATGATGGTAACTGTGTTATTGAAACTGGAAAGAAATTATCACGCAGGCTTGTTGTTAAATGAAAATGTTTCCTACTCAATATGCATATTTTATCATTTCGTGTCATTTCATTAACCGAAGAAAATACACGAGTATTATTTTGTTACCCAAATGGTTTTTTACATTAGATCAACAACGCTATTACATGCGGCTACTAACTCTATAGATGTGGTCGACATAGACTGAAAATTAACAGGTTTCTATACTTGTCTTGTAAATAACAAGATATTAAGTCAGTATATGGTCAGTTTCAAATTAATTAATCTTCAGTTACTTAATATTCTTTATTTTCGAAAGAAATGCTGAGTTGCTTTTTAACTCGAGACTCAAATGATTATGGTTTAGGTTTTGTTACCTAACTTGAGTTTGATTGATTTCTACTTCACCGTTAGTACATATTAGCGCTATATTCAGTTAAAAACATGAACTCCCTTTCAGAGCGAACGGGTGTTAAAGTACTTGTGTAAAAACGACATTTTCCACACCTAAAAACCACATTAACACAGGACTACTAGGAGATGATATCTATCATTGACCAAGCTGTATAGATGAGAATTGAAATTGTCCGAAACAGCAGCGTTCTCAGCTATTCTGTGAGATTGTATGTTTTCACAACATGTTTTCAAAGTGGTAGTTTTGACAAATTGTTTATCTTCTCTTCTGCAGTCTTTCGCGGATTAATTTCATGTGTGTTTGTGAAAAAAGCACACAATAGTCGCTAGACTTTCCAGGGATGTGTGGGATACACCTTTCCAGTATGTTAGGCCTAAAACTGCTTGTGAAAAGTTACATAATAGTCTCCAAACTTTTTAGAGATAATTGGGATACATATTTCCAGTAAAAAAATTCTTAAAATTGTTTGTCAAAAGTTACATAATAGTCTCCAAACTTTCTAGAGATAATCGGGATACACCTTTCCAGTAAAAAACTCTTAAAATTGCTTGTCAAAAGTTGCATAATAGTCGCCAAACGTTTCAGAGAGTTGCTTGAGATACACCTTTTCATTATGTTAACCCTAAAATCATAAAAAATACTGCAAATGAAGCATTCAGTTTTATTTTATAATAATTCAAACTAAAAACAAAACAAAACTGAATACTTCGCAACTTGCGAATTAAAAATAATTGTAGCGAAAGAAATGTGAGACTTTTGGTTTTTTTTCTGAATTTTTCTGATGTATCTGAGTTTAATATGAGTGAAAATGGGTTGGCCTGTCGCACAACACGGTATCCCTATTTAACCCTTAAATTACAGACTTATGTTTATGGCAGTCATTACCTCATACTGATATATATTCGTTTACTTAATACTGAGTGTAAGGAACTTTGTTTGTTTGAAATTAAGCACAAAGCTACACAATGGGCTATCAGTGCTCTGCCCACCACGGGTATCGAAACCCGGTTTCTATCGTTGTAAGTCCGCAGACATATCGCTGTGCCAATAGGGGTCGTGTAAGAAATTAACCTAAAAAATATCCAGTGAAAATTATCGTCAATACATAATTTATTCCTGTTAGAGTTTCTCATGTTTTTACATAGGAAGTGCGCGATTTTATCCAATTTTTTGTGTAAAGAACTAACCTAAAAATATGATACAATCACTCATTTCCAATGTAAAATACATAAGAAACCATAAAAGGATTAAATTCAGTATTGACGATAATTTTCATGGGATTTTTTTTTATATTACTCATATGTTATTATGAAACCTGTAACCAATAAAGTCATTACCTTAACCAACAAGGTCATGGACCCACAAGCACTTTGGCTCATAAACAGTTTAGAAACATATTTCTAAAAACTGATGGAACCTGATTCCATAGATGATTCCAAAATTATCGAAATATATATAATGTTAGTTAAATTATTGATAACACACTTATTTTGGTCTTTAAGCAGCTGGATGAACGTGGCTCAGTGGTGCCGAACTAAGAAACCCTCTAGCCTATTAGTTAAAAATAAGAAACGGCTAGCGTTAATAGTCCTCGTTTAGTCTTACGCTAATATCCGAAAACGAAACAAAAAACAAAATATATCAACAACAACAACAACAAAACCTTTAAGCAACTAACTTTCTGTTCGTAAAAAAACTTTCACGTGAAAAACAACAACAACAACAACACGAAAGTTTCACTTTGCACCTAAGGGTTATCCACCTCGACTATCAATAATACCTGGACTAGGAATGGGTTTTATGTTATTTCAGATTAAGGCTGTATTGTTATTATACTGAACCCTTGACATACGTCACGATACGAGGGGGAAACATATGTTCTAATTGAAGTATGGAAATATACTAGAAATTATATGTTGCGTGAGTGCACTGCTAACCATCATCCCAGTATAACAAAAGGTGAAGCAAAAAGCTCAGAGAGTAGTAACCAAGTGCACTGTTTTCGTAGACTCCGTGAGGACATTTTGCAACCCATATAATTAAATAAGATCAAGATTTACTACAGGGATGATTTTCTTACTAGATCTTCACGTGTGATTAAGTTTCTGCTAAATTCTTGGAGCTTACGATTAAATATACACACTACAGACCTACCGCATTGGACTGTTGATATCGTAGAAAGCTGGCAACAAGATAAAAAACTCGGCATCCGAACATAAAAAGACTATGAGATTTTTAATAACATTTTCTATATTCCGCTAATGTAAAAGGGCGTACTAGAATGATGGTGCTGACATCTATAATTAACTTCCAGTAAGTTAGGTCACGGATGCCTAGGGGCGTTTGTCTCTTAATAACATTCATGTACACACGTATTTTCGGTTTAAAAAAAGAAATAAACAAAAGATTAAAATAAAGCACTTGGTTCATGATTGTTTGAAATGTTAATAACGTATCAAAATGTTTACAAAAAACGTTCCTTGATTTTAATTATTCATTTAGATATGTTGTAGTTTGAATGAAATGTCTGTAACGGACAAAGTGATGATATATACATTCTGTGTAATTGAACATTTTTAGTCGAATCTTTCTATTTATGAAGTTAAATAGCGCCAAAAATAAGAAATTAAGATTCATTTAAAACCAGAATTTCCCTCAAAGCTGGGATTCTAGGCATAGCCGTCTCTACTTTTAAGCCTACCCGCCCCCTAGTGGCACAGCGGTATGTCTGCGGACTTACAACACTAGTAAACGGGTTTCGATAACCGTGGTGGGCAGAGCACAGATAGCCCATTGTGTAGCATTTTGATTAATTACAAACAAACAACTCTAATTTTTGAAGTGATAGACCAGAGAGAAAGCAGTTGGTGAACAGCACCCACCGCCAACTCTTAACTGATCAAATATTGGGATTTGACTGTCGTTCTTATAAGCTCATTCGCGGCTCCAAATTGTGGAGCTAACTATGAATCCTCAGATTCATAGTCCGGGCATGCTAAGCACAAGAGCCACGACCGACCCATGCTTAAATTTACTTACAATGAGCAATTTCCCCGGTGGGACAGCGGTAAGTCTACGGACTTACAATGCTAAAATACGGGGTTCGATTCTCCGCGAGGGACACAGACGATTTAAGGAGTCTGATGGATGATTAAAATTTCATTACTTAGAAGATAAATAACATTTGAATTAGTTGGTGGAATTTTAAAAATTCAAATATTTGTGGGTAGATAAGATTTACAGTTCTTTTTGGTTTATTAAAAAGTGGAATATTCAGTGAGTTATCGAAAATTGAAGTAGATTAATATCTGTTGGATTATTAAAAATTAAAATACTTTGTAGATTAATAAAAATAAAGAACTCGATGGAATATTATAATGTA